TTTTCCAGGTTAATAATTTCTTTTTGGAAATAACTATAAAATTGTCACCTTACTAAAAATAATCTAACAGTTTTAGAATCATTAACAAAAACTTAAAAATCAAAATAAAAACCAAAAGCACTCACTCAACTTTTTAATATAAATGATTCGATATTCTGTCCGACACACATTAATCGGATAAAATTATAAATTTAATAAAATTCTTCATTCAAATTTTACTTTATACCTTAATAACATACATAATTAATTTTAATAAAATAAGTCATATTCATTGCATGGGAGATTAATGGAAATGACTTCATATCTGCAACTAACCTAACCTTATTATAACTTATCATAATTGAGAAGGGAAAGAGCTCACTTGTGAAAAATTAAATTATATAAAAATTTAAAATGATTATAATTGTGATGTGTTATTTGAAGAATCTTCTAGTATTATTTTTATTATTATTTGAAGAATTCTTCCTGTCTTTGTTTTAAAATATAAACGATATGGAAGTATATTTTTATTATTATTTTTCCTTTTCTTTCGATGAAATACCATATTCTAGTTACTGAAATTTATATTTACAAAAATTAGAAATCTATAATTATATAATTTAAAAAAAAATGTTTGTCATTTTAAATGACACAAAGTTATATCATTTTTAATGAAAACACGTTATTTTGATATATTTTTACATTCCGTCTCCTCAACTTTCTTTTTATTTATAATTTTATAAAAGGGTTTGTTTTTTCTGAAGTTACTGCAGATAAGTTATCTGCAATAAGCCCAATACGACATCGTTTTGGGCGAAAATCCCGGTGTTTTTGTAATTTTAATTTATTTTAGGTTTTAATAGTCTTTATATTTATAACTTTTTAATATTTCAATACCAAAACGATGTTATTTTGAGAATAAATGCAGATAACTTATCTGCAGTAACTGCAGAAATATTTTTTCCTTTATAAAAAAAATGACAAAATACACCAAAACAACGTAGTTTCGTTAAAAATGACACGAAATTTTGTCATTTAAAATGACAAACACTTATTACAAAAAAATGAAAAATAAAATGACAAACACTACATCCAATTTATATATGCTGCAATTTATGTATTTGCATTTAAATTTATATTTCAGCAAATTTGAACTTGTACAATTTACAAATATCGTATATATGTATACTAATATATATGTGATAATACAAATATCGTATATATGTATACTAATATATATGTGACAATACATATATGATAAATATCACATATTATATATTTAATTATTGATTTGTATTTTTGTATATTTTATGTATTTATATGTTATGTCTTTAACTTTTTTATAATAAAGAAATAAATTAACATGATAAATTTTGTAAGGTAAAATTATGAATGAAAAATTTTGTTTGGTAGAAGTTTATATAATTGATTTTTATATTTATTATGATGTCAAATTTAAATAATAATATATTATGAATTATATTTCTTAGATGAAGGAATTCATTTCCTTATATAAGATAAGGTAGTGAGATGCCTTTGCAAGGTATAACTCTGTTATACGTAGAAAAATCTATACTTATGAAAATATTCGGCAAAAAAAAGTTATATATTCCATTAAAGAAAATTAAAACAAAACAGCAACCGCTGGCATGCGTAGTGCTCCATGAATTTGGATACACTGCATGAGTTCAGTTAAAAATAAATAAATAAAAATAAAAATAAAATAATGAGACGCACTTGGAATCCGATGGACTTGGCAATCTATATTGTGTTACGTTAAGGAAGTGTTTGATATAAGAGATATTTTTTTTTATCAAGAAAAAAAGATTTCCAAGAATATAATGAGAAACATTTTTCCCCATGTAAGTTACGAAAAAGTGTTTGGTAGGCCAAAATTTTACCAAAAAATTGAGTTAATTTTACTAACATTATGTTTGGTTGATGGTAAAATATTGATAGGAATCTAAATAAAATGAGCAAAATATTCATCATTTTTGAATATTGTTAAGGGCATTTTAGTCTGATAAGTGTTAAAATGCTTTTGCCTCTTGCTGAGGAAAAAAAAACCAGACATGGGAGAGGAAAGTTTTTTAACAAGGTATAGTAAAAAAAGGGATTCATGGAAAAAATATCCCCAAATTATTCTACTTTTTCTAATACCAAATATGATAATTTTATTTCCCCCACCCCATTTCTCCATCATTTCATTCAAAAAAACCCATACCAAACAGCCTATAAAAAAAATTATCTTTCTTTCACACTAGTTATACACCAATCATTGGTATATAATTTGAGGGAATGATGTTTTTAATATTATAGGAAATAAAATAATCTTCACGCACACATAAAAGTATGTGAAATCTATATAGAGTTATATGAAAATAAGAGAAAAAAAATATAGATCTCATATATTTTTATATTTTTAGAGGAGATAATTTTATTTTATATGAAAGACATTCAACCCATAGTTTAATTAAGTAACATGTATCACTTGATTAATGAATTAGTATTTGTTTACTTCTTATGTTACATGAGAAAAATATTTTTTCCTACACACAATAAATATGTGGGTCCCATTAAAAAGAGAAAAAAGAAAAAAATTTCAAAGTGACCCATATATTTGTTGTGTGTAGAAAAAGAAAATTTTCTCTATTAATATGTTTGCCTATTTTATTTAGTAACTTAATATAGGCTAAACTTTTAAAAAAGTCTTTTTTAAAAAATAGATGATAGACTTTCTTTTACAAAACTCAATCTATAAGCCTACCGGCTGACATTTTCATATTATTTATTTTAAATGAAACTGTTATTTTAAATAAAATGAATGAAATTGTTATTTTAAATGAAATGAATAAATTTATTATTTTAATAATACATTAATATTTTTTTAATTATCGATGCCTGATAGATTTAAACAGGTTTGCAGATAGGGATATAAATAGGCAAAGTTAGGCTAGACTTTGACTTCAATAAGCCAAGCCTGTATAAAAACACTTAGGACTGGCCTGGTCTTTTAGCTTGTGTAGGCCTAGATTATAGGTCTGGCCTGACCTGTACTTAAAAAAAAAATCCTTAGCCTAGGCCTCTTAGCTTGTTTAAGCCAATTAAACATTCAATAATTAAAAAATAACTAAAATAATAGTATTTTATTATTTAAAATCATTAAAATAATAATTTTATTTACTTTATTTAACATAAATAATATGATATAGGCCGACCTATAGCTTATAGGCTCGACATGTACAAAAAAAAGCTATGACCTATTTTCTAAATAGGTTTTTTTAAAAGCCTAGACCTGTTCTATTTCACTATTTGTAGTTGGTCAAGTCTGGCCTAATGTAGGCTAAGCCGTAGGCTTCTGTAGGCCGGCCTAGTCCATTTACATCCCTATTTGCATACCAAAGCCAAACCTTTTGTTTTCGAATATAAGGAAGACTAAGTTTATAATTTGAGCCTACTAAAAGGTAATAGGCCAGCCAAATCCTAAAATATTTTATATAAGTTTGATCTACTTAAGCAAAAGTCTAGCTCGGCCGATGCATTTATTCCCCTAATTGTTAATAGTGATATTCTATTTGTTCTTATTTATATTAATTCTTTATAATTTTGCAAAAAAAAAAAAAAAGATAATTTATCCTCTCACGAAGATCAAACAATTATTTTAAAATAAATAAAAATATACTCTAATAAAGGTATTATAAAATAAATTATTACTTTAAAAGAGTTGTGTCCCACCAACAGTAATTAAACTAGTGGGTGTCAATTGTTATCAAAAAAAAAAAAAACTAGTGGGTGTCAATTTCATGAGGGGGCAGGAAATATAGCTACACGTAGCGGTGGATTCAGGTTTTTTTTTTTATGGGGTAAAAATAAAATATTAAAATTATAAATATTATTAAGAATAATAAAATGAACTAATTATTATAAATATTTTTTTGAGAGGGACTAATTATTAGTGCTAATAATTTATTATTATTAGACAAATATTATTTTATATATATAATAATAAAAGGAGAAAAATATTGTAACAACCAAGATGTGTTATTATCAAGTTACTACCAATTAATCTCACTGTTAGATCAATTATGTTGATCCAACGATTATATTTATTTCCGTCTTTGTATGATCATGATTTTTCAAATTTAATATTTTATATTTATTTCCACCTTTGTTTGGTTATGATTTTCCATATTTAAAGTGAAAACATTAAATATGAAGAATCATATACAAATATGGAAATAAATATAACCGTTGGATCAACATAATCAATCTAACAAATTTAGGGAAGGACGACCTCAATACTCAATACTCGGACCGTTGCTGCCTTCACGACTAAGAAGAATTAGGCAGCCATTGTTTAAAAAAAGTATGGATAGCTACCAGTTATTTGTGTATTGTAAATTATCATTGACATAATTAATATAACTTTTTATTCATGTTTTTTGTTTTTATTAAGATAAAAATTAAATTAATAAAATCCGTTTGGAGTTAGTTATAATTTTAAAATAAAAATGTAAAGTGTTTAAATATATTTTTAACTGCAAAATATTACTAATAAATTTAGATTTTTGAATTAATATTTAAATAATAATAAATATCTTGATGAAAAGAACATTAGATATCAAAATAAAAAATTTCATATACACTCTATAAAGAAACAAATTTCAACAAAAGTTAACATAACAAAATGTTTAAAACTTAATAAAGTTTAAAATATAAAAAATTCATTATTACCGTAAAAATAAAACATCTAATTTCTTATCATATACAAATACCTAGATAATAAATTATAAAACAATAAAAATTGCTTTGTTTCGTTCAACATTACACTATATATATAGATATATATTCTCTTAATTAATCCTTCATTATTTTATGGAACGTGAAACATGACGTCCTAGCTCGCGTTGCATATACTTTAGTGATATGACTTGTGTGTATTTATTTGAAGTATGTGCGACCATCTCATTGAATTCACAGTGTGTGTGTGTGTGTGATTCACTGATCTGAGGCAAGAGCTAATGAAGATCCAGTGCGACGTGTGTAACAAACACGAGGCTTCGTTTTTCTGCACCGCCGACGAAGCTGCTCTATGCGACGGCTGCGACCACCGTGTCCACTATGCTAACAAGCTCGCCTCCAAACATGAACGTTTCTCTCTCAGCCATCCTTCTGCAAAGCACAACCCAGTCTGCGATGTTTGCCACGTAATTAATTAATTCTCTTATTTTTTCCACAACAGTAACACAAAAATAATAATAATTTAATTTAACTGTTAAAAATGATCGATGTTGAGTTTTCTTTGTTGTATTGTATTTGTAGGAGAAAAGAGCTTTTGTCTTTTGTCAGCAAGATAGAGCGATTCTGTGCAAAGAGTGTGACTTTCCGATTCATTCTTCCAACGAGCACACAAAGAAACATAATAGGTTTCTTCTCAGTGGGATTAAGCTCTCTGATTCTACAACGCTTCATTCATCATCGCCACATAATTCTATGGACAATTCAAAAGCATCATCGTCTTCTACAAATGAAGAAGCTGGTTTCACAAGCAGCATATCCGAGTACTTGATTAATACTATACCGGGTTGGCAGTTCGAAGATTTCCTCGATTCATCATCACCTTCTGTTCCGTTTGATTTCTCCAAGGTTTGTTTTTTTTGTAATAATAATGAACCTCGTCCTAGTTTCATTTGATTAAACTTTTTGGGAGCTGAGATTTCGATTAATACTTTGATGAATTGCAGAATGGTTATGATGATGATATGTTGCCACTTCCTGGTGGTGCTGGTAATGAGAGAAATATGGGTGGGATCTGGGTTCCTCAAGCACCATCTTATGTATATTCTGCACAAATGGATCAGCAGAATATCGGGTATAGAGAGACAAAGGAAACCACCAATAACATCAAAGGCAGCAGATCAAGGTTGCGGGATGATACTTTCATAGTACCACAGATAAGCAATCTCAAAGTTGCCTCCAACAAAAGATCCAGACTTCTATGGTAGAAATTACAAGCCTAAGAACTTGTTAGGGAAACACCTAGCCTCGTTCCGAACTTTGTTTATTTATCTGGCTTGTTTTATGTTGTTAATTTAGTTCCTATTTGACTATTCTGTTTTTGTGTGTGTGTGTGTGTCCTCTGGGGGTTGTGTTCTTGATAAATTTGTGTATCACTTTCACAATGTAAATATGAAACGTTTTAAGAGCTGTCTGGATTGAGATTGTTTTTGCTACACGTAAGGTCAAAGGGGTTCAATGGGTGAAAACTAATGATGATTTTGTCGTTTGTAATAACTTTCACCAGTGGAAGCTTCAAGCAGGGGAACTGCTAACTCGATCGGTCCTTTAATTTGGTCAGGGGCCATGACAATGGGTTGTTGAATGTGGGACACTCAACAATGAGACTCAAGAGAAAAAGGGTGATGGAGAAGATGGTTTCACAGATGAATATGATGATGGGGATTCAATGCATGGCATGTGGTTTTGTCTTAACGTAGCTAGGAAACTAGGAAATTCGGCGACCGTAGTCCGTAGCCTTCATCATCATCATTTTTATTATTTTGCGTTTCAAAATTGGCTATTTGTTTGGGAAAGATGTTAGTCTTAAACTTGGTTTTGGCAGGGTTTGTTGTGACCTTTACCTTTACCGATAGAATGATAGAATAGTGATCAAAATGTCACTGCTCACCAAGTTTTTTACTTAAATGTCACGTCAACAGTGTTATTTTCCAACATCCATGCGAGCAAGTTCGCTAAGAACTGTAGCGAACTCAGTTTGCTGTCGTGTCACGTTTTTAGTGGACATCAAATTTGTTACACAAGGTAGCGAACTTGATTGAAATTCATATTCCAACCAAGGTAGCGAACTTGGTTTTTTTTTTTTTTTTTCTTAACTTTGTACTTGTTATACACTAGAAATGTGACACATCAGCAAACTGATTTCGTTACATTACCTAACAAACATGTCCAAATAACACTGTCCACGTGACATTTAAGTAAAAAACTTGATAAAAAATGATATTTTGGTCACTGTTTGAGAAGGTAACATGGTTAGGACTAGAGCTGGCAAAACGGGCTCGGCGGGCCAACCCGCCCAACCCGCTAAACGGGCCGGGGTGGGCTGAGTTTTTCAACCCATCTCAAAAGCGGGATGGGCTCGTTTTTTGGTGGGTTGATGGCGGGCATAGGCGGGCTGAGGGGGTCAGTGTAAAATAGGCTTGGGCTGGCGGGCCAACTCGCCAAACAGGACGAGGCGGGCTGAGTTTTTGAGTCCACTTTCAAAAATTGAGCGAGGCAAACTCACTCATTTTTTTGGCGGATTAATAACGGGCTGAAGCGGGGCGGGTGGCCACTTTGCCGCAGTTAAGAGAGAGTTTCGGATCAGAATACGGGATTAGTTAAATCATCAGCACTAGGCGAAATCATTGCACGTTGTCAACAATTATTGTTGTTATTTGATTGGACAAAAAAAGTATCAAATCTTGTCAAAATCTCATTCTCAAGAAAGAAATAATAGAAAATAACATGATGACATAAAATATTAATAAATAAATATCTGTAGGCCAATACAAAATTTCACAGTCATATCTGTTGTTTCCCTACCTTCTCGCCTTTTAATAAATGGTAAGGTTATAATATGCGGAGTGACTGTGTTGATGAGAGCTTGAATTTTTTAAAGAGTTGGGAAGCATGATGTAATAGTTTAATTCTTTCTTTCAATAAAAAAACTAAATTTCAGTATAAAGTGAAACGAGCTTGCGCACATGAACGTGCGTGAATGTGTCCTTGCGTGTGTTTGGTAGAAGAATTTTTTTAGGATTTCTGTGAAATTAAGGGTAATAATTTTGTTTATTCACGTTTGACATGAGATTTTTAAAATATTTCTCGAGTTTTATTTTGTGTGTAAAATTTTCTGAAAATATTATCAAAGAATACCACCCAGTGAATAGTATTTTAGGATTCTCATAGCAAGAGAAAATTTAATCCAACCAAACATACAATCAAGAAAATTAACCCAACATTTTGGAGAATATTTTATTCTACCAAACAACTTTTTTGGTAACATTTTTAGAAAACTAATTTTTCCACCATATTTCTTGAAATCATGATTCTCAGATAAAAAAATATTCTTCTACCAAATACCTGTTAAAAGTTACTGACATGCTAATTAATAAAAGTGGGAGTTCAAATCCCGTTAACGTAAAAATTTTGTTAGTTATTGATACATAATCTCTTTCAAAAAAATTTAAAGATATTGATAAATTTTCTCTTACTCTGATGAATATCCATGTCTAATTCCACTTAAACTTTTACTTAAAAAAAAGTCACTGACATTGAATATTGTCTACGCTTAGGAGCTAAAATATCCAGTCGATCAACAAATAGAGGACCTCAAAAAAGTCAGAAGCGATTTCTTTCTGTGCGACTTTACCACATAAGATTTTAGGGTTAACTTACTCTCATGCAGCATGAGACAGAAAATTTTTCCTACTCACCCTTTGATATCCGTGCTTATCTTTTTTCTTTTTTCTTTTTTTTAAGAAAATCAATGGAGCCCACATATGTTGAGTCTATCACATAAGATACATAAGAATAATAATTCCCAAGATTTTAATCCTCATTAATTTAATTTCCAGATGTCGTTTTAATTGCAGGTACTCTAACTTCTTCACAATTTGAGTTTTATTTTCTTTTATTAGAATTTTGTGGTACTTGACTTGATGGAAGATCCTATTACTTTGTGCATTCACATGTACATGTCTTGTCGACTTTGTTTACATTATAAATCGCGGGTTGGTTTATGCAATATATACGGGTTAAATATTTCTACGGTCACTCTAGATAAAGTTATCTTCAACTATTATTTATAACTATATTTTTTCGGGAGAACATAGTTATAATATTAAAATTGCTTTTTTTCCTCTCTCCTCAATTACTTTTTAGAACTTGTTTGTTGACGTGGAAAGAGAGAAAAAAGCAATTTTAATGTTATAACTATGTTCTCCCGTGAGAACATAGTTATAAATGGTAGCTGTAGATAACTTTATCTAAAGTGGCTGTAGAAATATTTTTTCATATATATATATATATATATATATATATATATATATATAGGGAAAAACATTTCTCAAGCTGCTTGAGATAAATTTATCTCCGGCTACTCCATAACTACGTCGCTTTGATTATTTATTTCTTTATATGTATTGATTCACCTTTGAATGGTTATGATTCTCCTTTTCTCTCTCTTCTTTATCACCACTGATCAATCTTTGTACGATTATGATTTAGCCGCCGGAGATAACTTTATCTCCGGCAGCTTGAGAAATGATAAGCCCATATATATATATATATATATATATAGAGAGAGAGAGAGAGAGAGAGAGAGGCGGGATCCTTTGACTAATTTAATTCAGTGGCGGAGCCAGGCTCAAATTTGAGCCCAGACCAAAAAATTATATGTGTATTTATTTTTCTTAATTTTAGTTAGTTCATATCGTAATATATTTAAATTATATTAAATAAAGCACTAAGAAGAGTTATAATTTTATTAAATATTTTTTAATTTTACTAAAAATAATTTATTTATTTTATACAAGTGAAAATTAGATACATAACCTAATACAACTTACCCAAATCTTTCACCAAAAATATTTTAAATTTTACATAGGCCAAATTACTAATTGTAACCCGGACCAAATTATATTTTTAATTCGGGACAAATTATAATTAATTATATAATTATATATAATAAGTATAATTTGTTAAAATTTAGCAGGAACCGAGGCCACACCCACAGTACATGTGGCTCCGCCACTGATTTAATTACTTGGAGTTAATTGCTAATATGGGTAATAGATTAATTATATATTAACATAGTTAATTAAGAAATGACACACACACACACACACATATATATATATATAGGGTGATGAAGTTCACTATCTTATTCTTATCTCTATTACATAAAATAATTATGTTGCGTAAGATAATTATTTTATATTCCCGCTGAATGCATTCTTGGGGAGGAGGCTGAACCTTTAGCCATCACTGTTCCCCCGCACTTCGGATTAGTCCCATAGCCGGCTCAAAGAGTCGAAGCTCGTGGGGATACCGGAGGGAGCCAACTCGTCTCAAAGAGATAATTAGGGTTGGGTAACTCCAAAAACAAAAAAGATAATTATTTTATGTAACATAAAATAATTATTTCCATATATATATATATATATATATATGTATATATATAAACACACACACACACATATGAGGAAGGATCCGTTTACAAATATATTTTATAAATCATACTAAGTCTGACCGGTCATACACTCTTGATTGAAGTATGACAAGTCAGACATAATGTAGTTTGTAAATAAAAAGTTTGTAAATATAACATTTCCCTATATATATATAGGCGAAGGATCCGTTTACAAACTTCTTTTACAAATTACAAGTATGACCGGTCATATACTCTTGATTGAAGTATGACATATACTCTTGATTGAAGTATGACCATTCATACTTAGTGTAATTTGTAAATAAAAAGTTTGTAAATTTAATCTTTTCCACACACACACACACATATATATATAGGGAAATGTTATACTTACTAACTTTTTTTCTTACTACTTCTTGTTACAAAATCTTAATCTTTGATTTCCGTCAATCTAACGGTTATAATTTATTGGATCACATTTATTAATTTATAATTAATTTGCAATTAATTATAACCGTTAGATTGTCGGAAATCAACGGTTAAGATTTGATAGTAAGAAGTAGTAAAAAAAAATAGTAGGTATAACCTCCCATATATATATATATATATATATATATATATATATATATATATATATAGACACACACACGATCATTGAATAATTTAGAAAAATTGGTAAAAAATTAGTAATTTTAGTAAACAATTAATTGTAAGTAGTTAAGTGGTTAAAATATTTTGAAAATCAATTAAATTAAATTATTTGAGGTATGTGAGATTTTATGTGGAACTATCATCCCATTTATATTATATTTTCATTATTTCACTCCCTTAATTTTATTGCGAAACATCTAACTTGTTTGTACGTGGATAATTGTATTTATTGTTGTGAAGCGTCCTTCATAGCCCAATGTTTATGGGTTGGGATGTAAAGACCCATTAATGGGTTACACCATTGCCTCCCCATAGTGAACATATGGACCTTACCTTAGAGGATCGCTTATTCCATGCACAGCTACCTCGTCGCGGAATAAATTTTTGGTGCTACTGTAGCACTTAGACTCAGTGCATCCCACTAATAGAAGCATTACACATTAGAGGAGAGAAAAAAATTTTGACAAAGAAAAAAAAAACTTTGACTAACATGTAATATTTCTATTGGTGAGATGTATTGAATCTTTGGTGCTAAGTAGCACCAAAGATTTATTCCTCATCGCCCACATTACGGTCATTTTAATTAGTAGTTCACTCTGTGTCATTTATATTTTTAATTTTTTATATTTGTTTATCTTTGGTAAATAAAGATGAAAGGGAGAGATTCCGCATGCGTACTACAGGGCATCACGTGCCATGCTAAAAACCTCTGCAAAACTCTTTCATGAAGAGGAACCCATTCGACTGCCCTCTTTGCCAGGCATGTTCACCCCTTTAGCTGTGGTAGCTTTGTCTTAATTAATTTTACATAGTGGATGGCCGCGACTAATCACCAAAACAATCGTGAATATATGTAGCGATTTGTAGGAGTTCATTATCTTTTAACATCTTTAGTTTTGATCTTGATATAAGTCAAGTCACTTTTCCTTACACACAAAAAGTAAATAAATCTAATATTGATGAAATAAACTGAAACAAAAAAGAAACACAAGTAATATAAAAAAGATTGATATTTTTCATATTGTAAAAAATAATTTTATCTCCTACATATACATAAAAATATATCGATTTATATGAGATTATACGAAGATATGAGATAGAAAAAATAAATAAAAATCTCATACAATTTTATACATAATATATTAAACCCTATAAAAAAAAAAAAAAAAAAAACTGTTTAGTACCTTATCAGAAGACCTACTGATAATGTCTCCAAGAAAAAAAAAAAAAAATCTACTGATAAGACCTACGTACCTAAAGAAACCCAAGGCAGAGTACTGATTCATCCAAAATCGTAATTTTGAACGATGAAATCATCGGAAAAAAGAAGGAAAAATAAAAAGGATGAACTGGAGAATTGGATTAAGTATTTTAGGGTGAGCGACAATGAGCCTTACACATATGCTGACAGTCATAGAAACAAGGTCCACCACAATGCAGAGGGCAATCCAACCTCATGCCACGGCATCGAGTTCTTGCCATGCATTTTGCAAACTCCCCCACACTATAGTCTTCCTTGTCAAACATACCCTTCCTCTTTGAGTTATTATAGTATATGCCTCTCCCTCCTCCCTTCCTTTTACCTTGCCTTGGCTGCCCTCCACACCCCCATTTCCACCAACCACCCCCTCCTCCTCCACCTCCCCATTCCCATCCACCCTCACCTCCACCTCCTCCGCCACCCCATCCCCATCCAAAACTGCCGCCACCCCCACCTCCGCCTCCACCGCCGCCTCCCCCACCACCCCCATCGCCACTACCTTCCCCACTTCGTCTATAGTACCAACTACTTTTGACGACTTTATTGTAGGAACTGTTATGTTTTTCTTTTACTTCATGTATACCATGACCAGAGAGAGTTACGGAAGTGGCATTGCCTTGAGTGTGACCATTGCCATTTTTCAGCTCGTCACCTTTAAGACCAACAATTGCCATTACGAGGATTAGACAGAGGACCCTAGTATTTCTCAAGGTCTCCATCTTTATTTTGGCTCACTAAAGGAAACGAAATTTTAATTTAGACTATGCAAGCCGTCTCCTTCAAAGCTAGCCAGTGGATCATAGGATACGGCGTCAGATCGTTGTTTTTTTTTCTTAAAACGTCGTGGGCTCACTTTTCCGTGTCAGCTATGGAGAGTGTTATCTACGGCGACTGTAAAAATGATAAGTCACACTTAGTTTTCTATATATATATATATATATATATAAATATTTCTGCAGCCACTCTAGATAAGATTGTCGACGGCTATTCTTTTTCACTAAGCATGACTGATCATATTCTAAAATTGTATTTTTTCTCTCCGCCACGTCATACTTAATATTTATATATAAGATTATCTACGGCTACCCTTTTTTAATATAAATTATAGATTTATATATAATCACCGAGTCATGCGGATCAATCAGTAACCTACTGGTTGAACCAGTGACCCAGTACCTCGATCGAGTTATTGACCGGGCCAGTTTTAATAACATTGGTTTGAATCATTATCATAATCAAAATTTTGGCACAATCTATCTACTTCAGTGTATAGTTATCTTTGTATAAAAAAAAGTGTATAGTTATGTACATTATATAAAAGCATGAATTTGGGAATCTAATGTAATTGTAGCAACAAATGTTGAATTACGTACCAAAAAATACTATTGGGAACCCTTTTATAATTATTTACTTTTGTAATAAATATTTTATTTTATCTATCATTTAAGCCACCGAGTCATTATTAGACATGATGTATTCTGTTTCAGAAACCAAAGATTTATTAGATTATTTATAATAAAATCAGACATTGATTAAATCATACTTTGAAATTTTATAAAAATTATAATTTAAATAAAAAAATTATTGCAAATTCACCAACAATACCCGTCCAAGCAGTAGGGAATTTCAGGCAATCGGAAAAAACTGACCCCTTTGTTTGGTTTCACAACAAATTAGGCATTTTAATTTGTGCATCTAATTAACAGTTTGCCAAAACCAATTTAATCAATAATTTATTTACATTTAACGGCAAATATATTTGGCAAACGAAGTAAAATTGTTCAACTCGTTGTCAAGGCCTATTAGAGTCATTTTTCCTAGAATAATTCAACCTAACATCAACTGCGCGCAGTTAACAACAGCAATTACATCATAAGGATGGACCCATATGGGCTTATCATGCATCATCAATGAACTGGTTGGTAGTTGATTACCTGCATCACCTTGGTATATATGTCCTACTCTGAGTCGTATGAGTTACTATTCGTTGGTATTTAAGTATAGGCTATGCAAAAAAAATTGGTTCATTTGTTTTATCTTTGATCTGACCTTGACTTGTATAATGACCCTCACATTTATTATGGATTTAATATTGAAAGATAATTATAAATATAAAGAAAAAGAAATAAAGTTACATTTGATGAAAAATGAGTTAAAATGACAGTTAAGGGATAAAAATACGAAAAAACAAAGTTACCCGAAAAGTGAAAGTAAAGTTAGAAATATTACTAGAAAAATATTCTAGTCCAGTTGATAAACTTTGGTAATGAATGAAGGTGTGTAGATAGATGAGTTTATATCCGCTGGTATAATGAACTGACTTAAGTGACTAAGTGAGTCACTGTTCACAATTATAAATCCGCGTCTTCCACGAGCAGAGACGGATCGACACAGAAGGAAAGGAAAGAAAATAGGAGAAATTGATGGAAAATCTTTCAAAATTCATAACTTAAGCTAGAGACCTCCGAATCACTTCGTTCCAAAGTCAAACTTGTGAGAAATTTCGAGAGGAATCCATTGGTACCCGTATTTTGGGATGGGTTTCACTGTAGAGAGAGATCTTCTTCCTCTAAAATTCGAATTTCTTTGAAAGGGGGGATTTTGAAGGAGCTTGAAGCCATGGGAGCTTGAAGTAAGCTTTTCCCTTCGTTCTAAGTAAGTTTATGTTGAGAAATCCTAATTTTCTTTAAATTTTGAGGAAGATTTGATTTAGTTTTTCATTTAAAAGTTTGGTTTGATTGAGCATGTTAGAACTTGATTGAGGCTTGGCTCATGTTGAGAAAAGTGTTCAGATGAAAATTTTAACAGTGAAAATGTATTTGAAAAATTTGAGATACCGTATTTTTGAATAGTGACATATATGAATAGTACCGTATACGTGAATAGTGACGTATATATGAATAGTACTGTAGAGATGAACAATACCGTATGTATAAATAGTTAAGAAATATTTGATAAGTAAAAGATAAAATCAATAAATGGTGTGTCTCGTTAACTACTTAGCTTGGAACCATTTTATTGATATTTGTATGGATTCCCTGTTCTAGGTGCGCCTAAGAGTCTTGTTGAGGACCCTACATCAGAGGAGGCTTGGTAACTCGGTTGTTGAGTAGGCCATCTATACAGCTTTGAGAGGTAAGCTCTATATTTATGGGATTCGCTCCTACTTTGTGTTCCGCCATAGTGTACGGACTGTGGTCAAATTGTATGATATGTATGAGATATATGATATAGATGCATTCATATAGAACTATATGATGATGTGATGTGATATGTTTTGATGTGTTTAATTTGATATGTTTTAATGTGTTTACTTTGATAAGTTTTGATGTGTTTACTTTGATATGTTTTGATGTGATTTCTGTAACGATCTCTGGCCATTGATCCTATGTGCACTGATGTCTGCTTGAGGTCATCCCTTGGGACTGATGGTGCACACTTCTGATATGTTCTGGTTCCGCTTGGGGTCCTCCCTTGAGAACACGTACGTTGATTTTCGCTTGGGGTCATCCCTTGGGAATGACTGTGTATGTCTCTGATAAGATATGTTTTGTTCTGATGTGATTATTGTGATGATTTTGTATATGATATTTGTTACGTGCGTTGATTCCTGCTTGGGTCATCCTTTGGGAATGATTGCGTACGTCTCTGATAAGATATGTTTTGTTCTGATGTGATGTAATTATTGTGATGATTTTGTATATGATATTTGTTACGTGCATTGATTTCTACTTGGGGTCACCCCTTGGGAATTACTGCGTACGTCTCTGATAAGATATGTGTATATGCTTTGTTCAGTTATGATAATTGATTATATGACATGTTATATGAGATATGTTCAGTACAGTATGATATATGATGTATATGATGTTTTGTATATTATGTATCTGACTGTCATGCAGGAAGTGAGCCCAGGGTATGAAGAGTTCTCTATAAACCTGGAGCTTACTAGAGATTCGCCTCTAACCCCGTTTGGGATTTGGAGATATTTAAGATACTTGGGAAATGACTACGTACTTCATAGATGTTATATGAGATATGTTCAGTACAATATAATATAGGATGTATATGATGTTTTGTATATTATGTATCTGACTGTCATGCAGGAAGTGAGCCCAGGGTATGGAGAGTTCTCTATAAACCTGGAGCTTCTAGAGATTCTCTCTAACCCCGTTTGTGGGATATGATTTCAGGGAACAGTTATCCGGAGAGCCTTACGGGACAAGGACACTATCATGGCTAGATATGTGCACGTGCTGAGATATGTATGTTGTTAGACATAGTGGCACGGAGCCAAGTTATGCATGCGCCCATGGATGAGTATATGGTCCTACATGGATATCTGATATCTCTGAAAGTTTATGTTGTATAAACTGTTTATCAGGGCACCTTGAGAGTGAGATTTGCAAATCTTCGTTTGTTCGATTTACAGACGATACTCTGTCCGATTTTCGTCTCCGTAAAATGAAAAAAAAACTAGAAGTTGTATGTGTGATATATCATGTGAGATAGGATTAAAGAAAAAAAAGTTAACTCGTACTTTCGTAAGTTAAGTATTCCGTTGTTTCTTTTAAGTATCATATGTATGTTAATTGAACCGGCTCGAGACGAGGATGTTACAACCTGACTTATAAATACCTATTTTTTTGAACTGGGTTTAAATACTGACCCACTTTTATTTGGGTCAGTTTTATTTTATTTTTTGTAATAAAGATGGGCAAAAGCCCCAAACAAAACAAAAATTACACGACGCGAGAACTTAAAAGATCTACAGAAGCATCCTGAAGAAGGAGCTCTAACAAAGGAGAAGGAGGAAAATGATAAACAATAAGATTATTATCATCCTCAAAATGCCTAGAAGCAAACCAGTGAGCACATCTGTTATTTTCTCGAAAGGTGTGGACCCAACGAACATCCCAATCTTCAGCAAGCCATTTGTGAATACGGGAAACAACCTGAGAGTTTCTGTGATTGTTGCTCCCTTCTTGGATAGTGCTAAGAGCAATCTCTGAGTCACATTCCAACTCCACTCTCCTAGCACCAGTACCACAGGCCAGCTCTAAACCTTTGAGGATACCCTAGAGTTCTGCATCAAGAGGATTACAGAAACCTAATTTGAAAGAGAAACCACCCAGAAAAGCACCATTGTGATCTCTAGCAAGGCCTCCACAGCTAGCATGCTGCCTAGATAGGGAAGAAGCACCATCTGTGTTAATCTTCAACCGACCAGGTTCAGGACGACACCATTTAGTAGGCTGATGGGCATTAGGGAAGCTGCCAAGAATGCTTCTATTCTTATCTCTAGCTTCAATTAAATGCGCAATAAAATCAGAAATGACACGCTTATCATTGCTTGGCCTTCGAAAACTATCATCATGAATATGATGATTACGCCAATTCCAAAGATTCCAGCAAGTAGTATAGAAAACATCTCTCCAATCAACATGAATTTGATAATTCCAACCCTTACTCACATTTTTGATGAGCCAAGGCTGTAGGTCTAATGTGAAGAAATCGTTGGGGACCCTTCTACCAAACCAATCTATCCACAATCTTTTGGCTTGAGAACAATCTCTAAGGACATGAATAAGAGTTTCTTCACTGTTTGGACAGTTAATGCAAAAATTAGGACCCCCATTCCATTTGCATGTACGACTCCTAACTGGAAGCTTATTAAGAAAAGTCAGCCACATCATAGTCTTGATTCTTTCTGGACCCTTCCAGTCCCAAATCTTCTTCCAGGGAACATTCCTTTGAGCATGTTGAAAATTCATCAAGTTCAAGTAGGAAACCTTAACTAAGGAAGAGGACACATGATTCTGACACCAAACTAACCTATCCTCAGTATTATCTTCCAAAGCAACAGGAACGCAAAACACCTTAGAGATTAGCTCATCATTTAAGAATTGCTTCAAATATCGAACATCCCAGGTACCATGCTGAAAGATCTCAGCAATGGTTCTATGCAATTCCAGATCAGGAATGTGATTATGAGCTAAATTACAAAGATTATCATCCAGATTCAACCAATTATCCGCCCAGAATTTAATAGTCTCTCCATCACCCACCTCCCATCGAAGACCGGCTAAAAAACTGTTCCAACATTTAGAAAATCATTGACCCAAAACTTGACCCACACCCATTATGTAAAAAAAAAGAAAAAGAAAATCACAATTACATTAAAAGAAAAGTTTTAACGTAAAACAATTACGTCAAAATTTTTTACAAAAAATATTTCCATAAAAAAATTTCGCAAAAATTTTTGACGAAAAATATTTTCATCAAAATTTGTGACTAAAAATATTTCTGTAAAAAAAATTGACGGAAATTTTTTTTTTGTCAAATTAAGGAATCTAAATTTCGTCAAAATATTTTACAAAAAAACATATTCATTAAAAATTTCAACGAAACACAATTCCATCGAAATTTTTTGATGGAAAAAAATTTCATCAAAATTCTTTACAAAATTCAAATTTCGGCGAAAGTTTTCGACGAAAATATTTTCATTAAACTTTTTGACAAACAATTTTTGTCGAAATTTTTAGCGAAACACATTTCCATCAAAAAAATTTCACTAAATATTTTCCTCAAGTTTTTTGATAAAAAATATTTCCATCAAAATTTTCAACGGAACACATTTCAGTAAAAAAATTTCGTAAAAATTTTTTATGGAAAAAATATTCTGTCAAAATTCTTTAGAGAATTTAAATTTCGTCGAAAGTTTCGAATGGAACATTTCCCTCAAAACAATTTTCGTCAAAATTTTTGTCAGATCACATTCCCATCGAAATTTTGAACGAAAAACATTCTGTCAAAATTTTTGACGGAATTCTTTTCTCGTTTAAAATATTTGATGGAGGAAATCATTTTCGTCAAAACTTTTGACAGAAACTAAATTTCGATAGAAAATTTATTTTTGTAAAAATTTTCATTAGAGAAAAATTTTCGTTGCTTTTCAACAAAAAATATTCTGACGAAAAAATAATTTTGTGATGAAATTTTCGTCGTTTGCAACTTTGAAATTTCGACGAAATTTTGTGACAAAACCAAGTCAAAAACGGGTTAGGTCAGATTTGACCGACTTCAGAAACTAAGTCAGACTCACTTCAGAAACCAAGTCAGGTCAGATCCTATTCAGTTCTGAATTAGTTCAAAAAAATTCAAACCAAGTCAGATCTGACTTGGATCAAATTAAAGCGGATCGAGTCAAAATAACTGACCTATAAAAATCAAGTTGGGTCGAGTCGACACAAAAATTTGACTCGACCTTAGCGATGCACACCCCTACGATTACAGAGAAAGTTTGCTACAAGACATAGAGGCATAGTGGAGACGGATGGGAAAATTAAGTTGATGCATAGACCATCTAGACCGGATAGCGACTCTCCAATCACTTACAAGATACATGCCTAAACATTCCACGTGAAACCCAATATCAAGTTAATCAACCATAATCCATAAATTAACCAAGAAAAAAAAATTCTTAAATAAGCACCTTTTTAACCCCAAGTATTCAGGTATCATACGCCTGTCCTAATATCCAATGCGAATTTTTGCTGATTTATGCAAATAAGGAATCATGCTAATCTCATCGTGGGGACAGCGGGACAATAAACAAATGCTACAAGCTTTATCAAAGAGAAATGATGGTAGATCTAAACTTTAAAAGGAACAACATTATGAACCTTTGCACCTACCTTGCTTTAAATAAGAAAGTTGGGGATCTTTTGCCTCAAATGTTGTGGCACAAAAATCTCGACCATTAAACTACAAGCACCACCTTACATCTGATTTAATTTAGTAGGCTCATATTAGGGCACTCAAGTAATCTTATGGTCAAACTTAATAGAGATCATGCTTTAGGAACTTCAGTTTGATATTTAGTGTTTAATATTATTTTTAATTATTTTGGAGTCAGTTATTTACATGTTTAGGATCATGGCACAGTGAGCAATTTTCTTATCTGCTTTAATGGGTAATTATGTAGTAGTGAACAGTTTATTTTTTGCTTGATAAGTTGTACTGTTATGCATCAATCAATGTCTGTAATTTCACGTTTTCTATCAGACTTTCACTTTGCTGTAATGTTTTCATTTTTCACGTAGCATTATCGTAGCAGTACTTCATTTCTCAAGTCTGTTTTTTCATCTCTGAGACCTTCAAAACTGAATAATGTTCAGCTTCCCTTGAGACATATTTTTGGTAAATTCCCGCGAGGCGTTTTGGTTTTAGCATCCAACCGAAAAAGCTGGCGGACACTTACCACAGTGTGCTCCATCGACAGTCATTTTTACCCGCAGAGACACACTTAATAACTGGTGGACTTATAATTACCACTAATCACTTAAACAAAGCTCCGTATGCTTGCTTCCTGGTCGTATTGTCCATGTATCCATTTCAGATCCATCTCTTCCTTCTCATCGCCCCATGTGGAAACACAAACCTCCTCCGTCAACAGTACTTTTAAAACAATCAACTTTTAGTTTTATTTACCTATTACCTATATCTATAGCAAATCAACAGGCAGTAGCCAAGAGAAAAATAGCTTGATATTAATCTATCAGAAAAGCAAAGACAGTGGAAGAATAAAGAGAAAAGGAAAGAAAATGAATCTAGTTCACGGTACTCTTCTCTTCCTGGGGGTTGTCATGTCCCCTTCTGAAAACAGCATAATAATTGTCCAATTCAAGCTGCTCCACTATCTTCTGTGTCATCCGCAGGTAGGAAGAGTGTCCCTCTATAAGTTGTGTCACATCAACCTGCAAAGCAACAAAAGAAGATAGCACCTTCGAACAATATATCATTGCTAAGTAAACAGTTGAATATAGCATAGGATGGAAAAGAGCTTACATTCTCAATCCCGGGAAGATCAACAGGTTGGATTCCAGCTAATCCTTGAGAAAGTAAACTGTGGATGGGAAAATATGTCAAAATATATTTTGATCGGGAGGGGAAGCGGAAAAAAAGGAGAGGAGATGGAGAGACTTCTATTGTGATTCATTTTTGCTTTCTAGAGAGTGAAAAATGGATGGAAGATCATGAATTTCCAGTTTCATGCTCTCAGACAAGGGGGTAGACTGAAAATGAGTTATATATTGTTTCACAATTTTGATGTAACAACCAAGGGTAAGGTAATTTTAGATTTCTACAGGCTTATTTTCAGCTCAATAAGGCAAACTAATCACGTGGAGCAATTGGCACCTAATCGAAAGCAGAATCGTTTGGGATTCTCCAGTAGATATAGTAATAACAGAAAGGAATCAAAGGATTATATCAATTTGAACAAGGATAGAAAATCCTCGATATCTAAAGATTCAACGATTAAATTAGAATAGCAGATTTGGCTGTTAGTAGATACATTTTAACCAAGCATCTTAATAACCTCTGCCGGTAACGTCATAAGAATCTATTACTACCATTCAGTGACAAATACAATATTGTCCTTGTTCTAATTTCAGATATAATAAGATTTAGTCAAATATTCAACATTTTGCCAGCGTGACTTGACATCATATAGGTTGCCAATACCTGGCACGAAAAGTTATACCAAGTGTCCAGTCATTCGCAGAGTAAGCGTTCACAAACCTTCCAGCCACCATCTACGTAGTAGCAGGATCATTAAATACTTAAAAAAAGTTAATGAATGGAGAATTAAAAATTGATTGTAGAGAACTTTCAGGTACCTTTCTCGCTGCCTCCCAGTTTTCGTCTCTAATTGAGATGGGTGCTCCAAGGAAAACAACCCTTTCCACTAGCCCAGCTGTAGAGGTTAACAAAGTGTGAAGATTTTATAAACCAGATTCCGATATTTATGAAAACCAAGAGGCGACGGTTCCTGATTACCGTTGTCTCCTTTGGATTCAGCCAAACATTGGAGACACTTGAAAATAACACGGGCTCCCAATGAAAAACCTACTAGTGTCACAGGCCTGGACCATAAATAGAAAGCTACGAAACATATTGGATTATACATTGAGGCAAGCTTATCATCAACCTTTCGGAATCACATTAGATGGTCACCTGTTTCCTTGCAAGCCTTTCAGCAACACTTCAGCAAGCACGTTACCAGCCTTGTCTGATCTGCTCAAACAAAGAGGAAAGCCAGGCTAAATATAATGTAAAAAAATTAAATGGTCATAAGAGATGATTCACTCCAAGATACTAAGGACCATCTTCCTGTGCCCCCTACAGAAAAAACAATCAACAGAAGCCACACCTTTAAATTGTTTATGCTTTCCACGGCCAAGAAAAAATTATCAACATAAACAGGGAAGAGGAATTCATTTGCACTGAAGTGTAAAATGGAATCTTTGGTAACATTATAGGTATTTATTTATTTTAAGTTAATAGATCAGGATGGATAAATCAAGGTGATGAAATAAAACAGAGTAGATCAATGGATACAGACTCATCAAGTCCATAATATCAAGTTAATAGATCGCAAGTACTGCTAGAAGCCTAGAACTGGAAACTCAGAGCAACCCATCATTTATCCTTGGAAGAAATTTTTGTCTCCATGTGTTTGCTGCTTTAAACAGCCATCATAGCCTTTTTATCATGAATATAACATGGGTACTACAACCAAGTACTGCACTTATTACCTGTCCACTGCAATTGCCCATTTGCTGTCTATAAGATCAAATGTAGTAACTAAAGTTGCTGGCCATGCTAGTGCTGCCACGAGTGAGCTTAATACTGTCAGCATGGCGCCATCTTTCATCAACTCAATCGCAATTCCTACAATATTAACCATCAAATACTTTCAGTTTGAATATGTCAAATATCTTAGTACTCTAACAGACACAGGGTTCAATGAAACTACTTGAAGTAAGCCAGTCCTGGATGGCAGTGCTCAGTGCAATCAAATTTTTAGACTCATATTGGAGCACATACCTATGCACACAGGTTGTTAGTATAAAGCAGTAGAAATTGAGAATGCAACTTTAGACTGAAAGCAGACTAGGTTTGAATCCCTCAAATATAACATTTAGTAAAATTAATAATTAATTAGAGGAAATTTATTGGCTACAGAAGGACATCGTATGCTTTAAGACTTGGGAGCAATTACATATTCTTCTACAGTAGCATAAGTCGTTTCCTGAAAATAATCAATTAAAGATGAGAAATAAATTTTTTAACATAATAGAAACTAATGAAACAACAAGTTGATTAAATTATCAAACGGCATGAAACAATTTGACTTCTGCACGAGCCTTGCTCACAAAAACATATGTTAAAGGTGTATCTCAAAACAGCATTTATACTATACAGTAACAAAAATTCTACAAAATAATTAGTTTAAAAGGAATAATTTTTCCTTACCTCTCCATGTTATCATTTTGACCTTCCCAAGGTTCCACAAAATCTTTCTCCTCAAATGCAAGCCCAGAAATGGAGATTCTGACAGCTAGATGCTGAAAATTGAAAAGGGAGGTTTTCCTTCAAATTTCAACAACTATATTAGTGTAATTCTCAATTAAGTATAAGGTCCTGCTGGGTTCATCATCAAGTCATGCGCCACCAAACCCCTGAAACTCCTAATAGTCCACAAAAATCTATGTAATATAATGACATTTTGGAACTTACGCCTTGATGAATGCCTCCAACTTCTTTCAACTCAAATTCCTCAAGACTTCCAATTCTTGTAGCCATCTTACTACCAGTAAGTCCAGCTCCAGCAGCTGAAATATAAAAGAAGCAAGTCACTGAGCTTTTATCCATACAATGGATAACTGTCAAAGTCCCTCACGCCACAGATAGATAGAGATAGAGAGAGAGAGAAGAAAAAGATTTTAGTGAACAGGGCTGCTTAGCACTGGAACATAGGTTCTTTAATGAAAGTCAATAAAAGAGTTGATATATGCCAGAGTGCTTTCTCTGTATAAATTTATGGCCATAGAATACTTAATCTATAAAAACAAGCTAGAAGCAGATGTAGGTTGTAGATACATTTCTAGGTGTTTTATTGGTGGTGAATGCTTTCACGACATATGTGAACCAAAATTTATTCATCCACACCTCCAAATGATGCAGCAACAGCTATAGATCCAGCAGCAGATCCTGTAGCAGTTGCTGCAGCAGCAAATCCACCAGCTCCAATGGCAGGAATAATACTGCCCAATGTAGGAGCCAAAGCACCCAATCCATGGGCAATTGCCGGGGCAGCCAAGCCTGTCAAAACATTTCAACACTTAAGATATTGATATACTATCTCACCCTTGGGATAGATAAAGATACTTGTAAGTTAGATATGCAGATTTATACCGCCAGTTATAGCCATTAAGGTTCCTCCAGTTACAGCAGCTGCTCCTATGATACCTCCACGCTTCCATTTATCCCAGTCGGTTTCTGCAACTATAGATTCTTCTTCCTTGGCACCTTCTTTACTCACTGAATCCATAAAAGAAAAAGCAACCATAGCCTCCATTGCTTCCTGCAAAATATTATGAAAGTAAACTTCTAGCAATGGAGTGCCGCCCAATAATCACTTTGTTAAAACCACCAAACCATACACATACTGGTATCTGCACCACATCATTAAGGAGAGAATTTTATTTTTTTTTCTATGAAGATTCACACATCACAAATATAGTGTTTAAAATGCATGCAGGTGTCCCAAGCACACAGACCATTTCATTCCATTTGACACCAAGCCATAAAGCAAGCAACCGCAGCGCCACACGGTGACGAGCATCATAGCCCTGCCTTGACTGACAGTGCTTCTTGTCAACCTCAGCAGTATCTGATACGCAAGCTGAAAGAAGTGAGTAAAGAACTGTCACTTTCCTCTGGTAACTGATAAGGGTTGCCTCCTCTAAAGGTTGCTCAAATGTTGCATTTTCAAGTGCAGTGGAAGCTTGTTTTTCTGGAGGCAGCAAAGCTGAGCTGTCCATGGTTTCACAATGAGGCTCAGCAGCCACAGCAGAGGATTTTATCCCTATAGCACATGAATCATCTTGACTTCCAGTTTTCTGCTCATGGCCTACGCATGAAGAATCAGTACTAGCATTCATGCTCTCAGTTGTAGCATCAACTGCTTTGGTCAATGCGGCTTGTTTATCCAATCTTTCCGAAGAAGTTGCATTGCCTTCCTCTGACAGTAATTTCAAGAACTGGAATGAAATAACTATCCTTTGAGCATTTTATTTTAGAAGAATTAAAAGAAGCAATTCGCAACCCCGTGAATCAAATTTAATCTAATGTATAGAAAATGAAAACGGAAAAGAATGAACAACATACAGCTCCTAGGTGATGCCTGAATTGGGAAGACGAACCCGCAGTTTCCTTTAGGCCATGCCAGGCTTGGTCATCCACTCCGAGGAACCTGTTAACTTTTATAAACTGATCATTGAATTTTATTTTTATTTATTTTTAAATCGCAACAGAAAATCAAGATCCTTACAGCATTAACTTTGTTGCGTTAAATTGAATACCTAAAAACAGGCCAAAGCAAACCAGAATTCTCGTGAATCCAAAGCTCGGGATTGTCTGAAACAGAAGCAGCATCGGCGTTGCTCGGAGCATCACCACCATCACCGCTGCGAGGAGTTTCCGGAGACCGACCTTGATGGATTTGAGACTGGTGAAGCGCCAGAGCAAACAGAGCAGCTGCTGCGTATCTTTGAGTAGGCAACAAGATCGATGAGGTTTCCTCCATCACTCTATTCGAACTAAAAGCAACTATATCTAAAACTAAAAGGCATTAACTGATATGAAATTTGAACGCAATTTTGAAGCGGGGAAATGTTGTTCTGACGAAAAGGAAAACCTAGGGTTGATCGTTCTTTTTGGGTATGGGATCAAAATGAAAAACCGACCACTGCCTTTACTTGTTCAAACTTCAAATTCGCACCGGCTTTGACGAATGAATAAAACGAAACGGCTATTTCCTCTCGCGCAAGCGGGAAACGCATGTTGCTCGCCGTGACTTGAGCACGCGAAAACCATGTGAACGACTCTCGTCTTATTTAATAATAATTATTATTATTATTATTATTATTTCTATTATTATGATGGGACAGGTGAATAACTTACATTTTTTTTCTACCTTTGTCCATCTCTCTTCAATATCGCTAGATCAAAATTTCAATAGAAGAGAAAAATGAAAAATATAATTAGAATTCTGATTTAACGGTATTGAAGGATGGTAAGCAGAAAAATAATAAGTAAAATAACTTATCATGTCGTGATTCGAAGTTTATTGTTATGCTAAAAAAGGTGTAATGTTTTTCAGAAATTATGCCAAAATAATAAAAAAAAAATTTCGGTAAACATAATATTATTATTTGGAGGAAGGTTATACTTACAACTTTTTTTTTTACAACCTCTTACAACCATATATCATAACCGTTGATTTCCGCCAATCAACGGTTGTCATTTATTATGAATTAATAATTAATTAATGAGTTTAATTTGCGGAAATCATAACCGTTGATTGACAGAAATCTACGGTTATGATATATGGTTATAAGAGGTTGTAAAAAAAAAATATTGTAACTATAACTTCTCCCTACTATTTGTTATCAAGACACCATGTGTCGATCGCAGGACAATTTTTTCCAAGTTTTTATATTTTTATATTTTTTCAATTTGTTACTAACAAAGTCTCATGGGTTTTTAACCTAAGAAATGTGAATTTCATAAAAAATCACTTATTTAGTTCATTGATCAAATGTTTTATCGGACTAATGTAGAAAGATGTATTTCACGTGGTTACGCGTTTAGTCGCGGCACACCTGACACATGCGTGTTTCTAACTATGGCGTGATTATGTCACGGAACGCGTGTCTGAACATGACATATTTTGGTATTGTGCTGGTCAGACTTGTTCGAAACGCGCGCCTGAAACAGATGTGTTCAGACGCGCACTAGGTACAGACGTGTTCAGACTTCTCAAAAATATGCATTTGGTACAGACGTGTTCAGACACGTTCCTGGTACATACGTGTTTAGATTTGTCAGGTGCGCGATTAAACGTATAGCCACCTGAAACATGTCTTCCTGCACTAGTCCAGTAAAATATTTAATCAACGAACTAAACAAATGAATTTTTTTAAAATTCGCATTTCTTATATGAAAAACCCAAGTCTCATTGGGACTAACAGCTAAGAGGGAATTAAGGAAACATTCCTTAATTATGCTAATCCTACTACGGTAGCAATGGATCAACAATTGGACCTCCAATGCTCCTGAGAGGCCCAAAAGTCCACTCCTACCAGGTAACTCATCTATAAATAAGGGGTTAAACCAATAAGGTACACACGCTCTAAACTCTCTCTCTTAGCTTGTCACTGTGCACACACCACACGCCTTGACTATGTCGTTATATTCTTATGCACAGTGATCCGCTTATCTTTAAGGTACCTCTCCTATAGGTACCTGAGGGAAGGCAAACAGATGCTATGTTAACATACCAATCTCTGATTGGACATATCGATCTATCAGACCGTAACAGTCAGGTGCGCGATTAAACGTATAGCCACCTAAAATACGTCTTCCTGCATTAGTTCATTAGTCCAGTAAAATATTTGATCAACCAACTAAACAAATGAATTTTTTTAAAATTCGCATTTATTATATGAAAAACCCAAGTCTCATTAATGGGTCTAGCAATACACTATTCATCACGTGGTGCAGCGATAAAAATTCGTTGACAGACACAACAAGATAGACCGAAAGATTCGCTGCTTTGGGATTTTTTTTTGGTACTGCCTTAGCACCTAATTTGGTGCATCTTCCTTTTATATAAAGAAATTTTTATCTCATTTCAAGCCAAATATTTTTTATTATTTTCCTTTAAGTCCTCATTTTTTTGTTTCTTTTTTGGAAAGATATATCATATATATCCGTAGCACAAAAAAATATCTCAATGCTTTGCTTAGCAGTTAACCATAATTTACCCTGATATATCACATCATATAATATTATTGGATTTACTATTAATTATGGAACATGGTATCCAGGATTGCAAAACAATTAATCAATCATGTGTATTTTTTGAAAATATTTCAATAAATTTATTGTTTTGTGATTAGTTCGATTCAGAATAAATCTCAAGATTAAGATAATATTAAGAAAGATTGAATATATACTTTCACACTCACCTGCTCAATTTCCTGACGTCAAATGAACTACCACAATTTGATATCGTCCGTTAGTTATACATTAATTAATTACATGAGATATTCTAAAAAAGTGGCAATCCGTAGTTGATTAAATCTTCGGACTCCGAATATTAATTGATCCACTTTCTTGAATTTCAAGAATCAATTTTTATTTGCACTTTTTATATAAAAGCTTATCAAATTCAAAAATTCAATTCACTGTATATTTGTAGAGCAATGCCAGACATCATGCACAAATGGTTTGCTACGAATCCATTTTTATGTGTCAGTTTATGAATTGTTTTCATAAGATTCATCATTACAAATAGGTTCACTTTTTCTGCGGTTATTGCAGATAAATTATCTGCAGTAAGCGTAATACGAAGTTGTTTTGGGACGGAAATCACGGTGTTTTTGTAATTTTAATTTATTTCAAGATTATAATAGTCTTTATATTTATACTTTTTTAAGATTTCAATAGCAAAACGACGTCGTTTCGAAAATAAATACAGATAATTTATCTGCATTAACTGCAGAAACATTTTTCCCTTACAAATATTAGCATAAATAGATAGTTTTAAACATTAGTTGGCGCTTTCTTCGTGGACTATTAATTGCTATTTTCTTGGGATATTTTATATAATAAATGAACTTGGCCTTACTCTTATCAAGCAATAAATTAATGCAGTATTCTCCAAATCTTTTGTGTTACTCAGTACTCTGCTTTATAATTAAGAGTAAACTTTGGATGCTCTCTAATGTAGCAAAAATGAGAAATGTATTCTTTTTGTTAAAAATTCGGATAATGTAAAAATTTTATATCTATCTCTCTCTTCACATGTATTAAGTGATCAGTGGAAATGGATCCTCTGTTGTGAGAAAAAACATGACATGGTCATGTGAGAAGATCACAATCATACAAAGTTAAATCAATGATTATGATTTTTTAACTACTTATTTTACTATTTTTTTTCTCTCTCCTCTTTTATTATCATTGATCCACCTTTGTATGGTTATGATTTCTCACTTTACCATGTCATGTGATTTTTCACATCAGACAATCCGGATCCGTGATCAGTAGAGTCTAATTATCATTAGTAAAGAAAGATATAGATATAAAATTTCATATGATACTCTCATGTAAAATTTATTCGCGGAAGTGCTATGTTGGGCAGGATTTTATTTGTGACAAATTGAAAATAAGTTTTGGTCTAAAAAGTGAAGGTGTTTCGCGATGTGTTAGTTTGGGAAAATGGGGTAATGTTTCAGCCGCTGAGTCTCTCGTGCTTCAGTTAATGTTTAGAACTAGAAGAGATGGATACAAAAGGTCAAACATCCCTCTGATGACGAGTGAGCATTGGATTAAACTTGAAAGGACATACTCCAAGTAGCCCTTAAACTTTGCTTCATGTGCATCCCCTCACACTTTAGGAACATGAAATAACCCAATGAAATTTGTTGTGATAGGTGAATGTTCAAGCATACATGGTGTGCACAATGATAGGATAATTTTATTTTTAGAGTAAAACACCATTTTTAGTCCCTGTCAATATCTACGAAGTCCTTTTTAGTCCCTGGCAATAAAAAAGAACCAAATTGGTCCCTGAAATTACAAAAAAAGGGGCCATGTTAGTCCTTATGTCAACTCCCAAATATGTAGAATGACCCTTTTTTTGTACTTTCAGGGACCAATTTGGTCTTTTTTTATTGCCAGGGACTGAAAAGGACTTCGTAGATATTGCTCTTACCAGAGTCATCAAATTCTGGCCCAACGGATCCAGGCCCAACGCATCCCACACAAAACAACTTCCGAGTTTCACATGACACTAAGCCACGTGGGACCAATCATAATAGACAAACAGTTAGTTGATTTACAAGAACGATTTTCTCAAGGAGATGTGTTTCGTATATCAGATTTGCTGGAAGAAGCTTTTCGTCTGAATCAAGGAGACAGATCTGTCACTGACTACTACACACATCTCAAAACGGTATGGGATGAATTAGATAACCTTAAACCTCTTCCTAATTGTGTCTGTGCAGTTCCATGTGTATGTGGAGCTATCACAAGGATGAGGGAATATCGTGAACAAGAACAAGTTATACGATTTTTAAGAGGATTGAATGAGCAATTTGCTTCTGTAAGATCTCAAATCATGTTGATAAGTCCACTGCCAAACATAAATAGATCTTTTTCACTTTTTTCTCAACAAGAAAGACAGTTCAAATTGGACAGTCATGTCACTGATACAAGTCAGTCATCGATTTTCCATGTGACAAATACACCATCAAGCTATCGAAGAGGAAATCCTAGTTATGGAGGAAGGTTCACTGGTAGAGGACGTGGTAGAAACTTTGGTGGTAGATCTCAAACCAACCGCATATGCACTCACTGTGGGAGAAGCAATCATACAGTTGAAACATGTTATCAACTACATGGCTTCCCACCAGGTTACCGTACAAATAATAGAACTCCTAATACGAATGTTGCAAGCACAGATCCACAGAATTTTCAATCAGAAGTTGCAGTTTCCTCAAGGTCAGAACCTTATATGCA